CTTAGACAAGGTGGATGTGATGCTGGCTCTGCTCCCACTTCAAATAATTTATGACTGCTTACATAAGGAAGGCTACAAAAAAAGAGAGAAATGTTGAACATTGTTCTTATATCTTCTAATTTTTAGAAGATTAGAAGATCTAAGAATCTCAAACTGACCAAAGAGTTGACTGATTTATATGAGGATTTAGATTTAATTGGAGTATGAGTCACTGGAGCAGAATCTGACATTATGAATGGACTGTAATGTGTTACATTCATCTGAATTTAATTCAGAGGAACCTGGAATCTGACGGGAATCCATTTGGACCTGCTTGCCTTATAAAATGACTCGAGAACACATTTGTGGTGAATTGCCACTATATAAATAAATTGAAATCCATTCTGTAGAACCTATATTAACAGTGCCTCTTATAGTCGAAATAAATAGCAAGATGAAGAATTGATTCAACTCCATTTTCTTGAGTCTCACCCACTAACACCTGTTGTTTCACCGCCCAGGTCAATCTGTGAGGCCCTCCAACCCATCATTCTCCGCCTGGTCTTGCACATGAGGAGTCATTTCTGTCACTCGCTCATTCAGCTGTGAAATCTCCACCCCCTTATTACCTGGAGATCTCTCAAATACACAGAGTCACAATTTCCCCCTCGTTTGGCAAGATCTACAAGACGTGTGTGCTCATGTGTGATTGTTTGTTCAGCTCCATGTGCACACAGGGGTCTGACAAATGAGCCAGGCTCAGTTAAATGGCTTGTGATTAGGACACATTGGCTTCTAATTGCCTCTCATTACCATTTGAAAGTGAGTTGCGGCTAGAATCAAAGGCTATGTTGGATATAGGGAGCCACTTATGTGTGTGTTGGGGAGAGGCCGTGTGTGCGTGTTCGAGTGTGGGTTGGGGCACAGCACGTCTTGATCACTGTGTTATGATCATACAATAAAAAAGTTCAGTTGGGTCTTTAACATCTTGTTTGCCTGAAGATTACGAGAATCTCAGAAATACTGAATCGACAAAAAACCAAATCCATTAATCCCAACTTTTGGCCAGCAAAACCTACTCTTATCATTCACTAAGATAAGTTTGGGGGAAATTTGTCGATCTCTTTGTTGCCAATGAGTCTGGTCCTGCCTAGAGTTGATACTAAAAAAAAAGAGCAACTTTTCCAGTCATGGAATAAAAGCTAGAACCGAAGCCAAAGACGGAGCTTGGGCCGCTGGAAACATGGAGGAATACTAGCCAACACTAGAACCAGTTTAGCGTGTAGTGTTTTCAACAAGTTAGGAATTTTACTTTAGCAAAGTAAAATAAGTGTTTTTGATGCTCTGGTAGAGCATCCAAATTTCCATGTTGGGGTTTCTTCTAAAAGCAATGAAAAGGTCCTGAAGTGACAGCCTGCTGTACCCTAAATGCACTGACGACCGCAACCTGAGATCCTTCCTTCCCCCGGAGGTTCGACTTTCTATCTATTAGGGTTGTAATAACTATCAGCTTAATCACAATACAATGCGATATCAATGTCATTGCATAACAATATCATAAATGTTTGTATAATTTCCATTCAATACATTTGCAAGCGATTTGAATGCCATATTATCAACATGACACCGGAGTTTTTTCAAACTCCAGAATAACATTCTGGAGTTTGAAAAAAGGTTTAGCTCGTGTGATGTGATGTGTTATTTGTGCACATGCATGCTGGCTGTAGGGGTATTGGCTCAATGAACTTCTGATTTGTTTCATGGTCCCTGGGCTGCTCCTCTAACACAATAATGTAATACAATATAAACCAATTAAATATGATTTGACCATTTTATTTCTAAACTACTAGATGCATCTGGCATTTAGATTAAAAACAGTATAATTAATAATACAACAACTTCACTAATGTTCACTATTGTATTTTGACTTGTGAATTTCAAAATTAAAGCATATCTTAAATATCAAATGATAGGTGTATCGATATAATCACATATTGTCAAGTCCTTAACTATTACTGCAACAAGCCCAATACGTTTTTTTACAAATCTGAGGTTAATTGCTGTTTTCCTTTCTGTTTTCAATTTTCTTGTTAATATTCTGCTCCTGCTTTCATGCAGAATTGTAATGTGCATTTAGTACAGTTTTCAATAAATCCTACTCATTTTCACTGAACTGTACAGTATTTTTTAAGTTTTGCGGTAAAACTTTTTCTGCTCTATTCCATTCATTTTGACTACGTACCTGCTTCATGTGAAACAGACATGCCCTTTCAGATCTCTCAATCATGGTTATAATGCAAAACCATGTTTGTTGTATAAATTACCACTGATTAATTTTCCTAAATCTAATGTTTGAACTTTCAGATTTTCTCTAAGTGTATTAATTTGTAATAAAGAGCTACATATGCATCGCTGTATCACACTCAATTAATCAAGAAGACCTCAACCATTCTTTAAAACACCCTTGTTCAGGGCAGAAACACCACAATAAGAACTGCTACATGCTAAATTAACATAGAAAAGATGCATGATGTTTATGGTATAAATGGCTAAAAAATGTTTTTATTTAGCTAAACATTTTGTTTAAAAACAAACCATAAAGGCAACCCTGCAACGAATGCATGGTATGTCAAATAGTCTGTTATCCAACTTAACCACGTTTGTAGGGTCAAACACGAGTTTTTAAAATGCAGTATACACTTCATGAGGTACGGTTTCACATTGCAGCTCTGCAAGTTCAAAATAAGTGTTTAAAAGCATAAAATTCACGTTAACAAGCTTTTAAGTTAAGCAATGAAAAACAGCTTTATAGCTTTTTTTTATAGCTATTTCAAAAAAATGGGAAATTTTACACTATCCACTCCTATGAATAAAATGTACCTTTTCTATCTCATTCTTAATACTTTTCTACTCACAACGGGTGTTAAGCTCGCAGTAGTAGTTTCAATTATATGTGCAGTTGGTATATTTTAGTTAAGGCCATCTCCTTTCTTCATGTCCTACCTTGTCTCTCTTTAGAAATACTGACGTTGTTATATTAGTTCTAAATCCTTCAAAACAAGATTTCAAAATGCAGTTGGTTGCTGTTCTTTTTCCAAGAAACATGTTCTGGCATTTCTATCAATCAGATTAAATGAGGCAAGATATCAGAATTCATAATAAGGTGTTATAACAGGTTATGACATATGATCGCAGTTGTTCTAAATAATAGAACACAACACAATAGAGAGCACTAAGGGAAACATTTCCTGTACTTCTTTTTATTGTCACTCTATGTGCTACTTATTTATCTAAGGACCATTAAACACATGACATGGGAGATCATTTAAGAGACAATATAAAATAACAAAAAAAATCAGAAAGGAGTGTAACATTGCTAGCAGGATAAAATGACACACATAAATAATAAATAAATAAATAAATAGCAGTTGCAATAAAGAGTATATTGCACATTCAAGGACATGTTGCACTTTCCAAAGATCAGGTCTTTGAGTTTAATATAAGATATCAGAAGTTATAATAAGGCTTTTTAATTCAGGGTCTGTGCTACAAAGCTCCTAGTATGGTCTCTTACTGAGAATAGAGTTTATGTGTATTGCAAAGGGGCCCGTAAAAGGCCCCTCAAAGCAGGGGTCTACCCTGAAGCTCTTTGGACCCTCTACTTTATAGTGGCTAAAAATAGCAACTGAGATAATTAATGGTTTAGTATAACTAGCAGTCTCAGAAGCTTTGGGAGTGTTTTTTTTTTTAAAGAAACTTTATAATTTAATTTTCATTAAAAAAAAACTTAATTGTACCAAAAATATTTCTTTCAGTTTATTTTTCTAATCCTGACCTTGAGAGTAGTGTTTTGTTTTTTTCAGGTCTTTACTATTTTTTTTTACACATCAGATAATATCCTATTGGGGAAAATCCATGCTTCCTTTTTTACAAAAACAACTGTTGGCTGTTTACGACTGCAACAGGTTTCCTACAGCAGATATTTAAAAAAAAAATAATGAGTCATATTTTATTAAGCTCTATACAAGTTTCATTTAGCTGGACTTGAGGAAAGGTGGGTCTCTTAATTCTAAAGGTTGCAAACCAGTGGCCTAAAGTGGATGATTTGCAACTGCAGCACTCCCTTTATACCCATGCACTTTTTCCTCCATTGCATTATTAAATTCATATTGTGAGTGGAAGCATAGCCCTACCCTGCTCTGAGGTGTAAACAGTGTAAAAATAGCCTGCTTTCATAGGCTTCCCTACAGTCCCGTTATATAATGGTCCAAGCTCGGATGAATGACATCACGGGTAGTCCTGCAATCACAAACCGTATGTCCTTTACAACCAGCTGGCAATGTAAAACACCATGTAGTAACATATTACGCATGCAGTGGTGAGCGTATGCAAACCCCATGCATAAAAAAGTGTCTTGAATAAAAAAAGTGAGCATATAAACTTGACTTTGGAGAGTAGTTCTAGTTCTTGTTGGGAGAAAAACACTTCCGCGATGGTGAAACCTTGATAAAAAATATTCTGGGTTGGTTGACATTCCCTGTCAACCAACCTGGAGTGTGAAAACAAGCATTTGCAACAACATAGGGTTGGGTTTAGCGGTGTTTACCGCTGAGAAGCGGCGTAAAGGGAACATGTTCGGGCGGAGGTCGAGTGGCGCAGTTTAGCGCGGAGCGCAGCGGCTGGCTGAGATCAGGGCGGCCGGCGAAGGCGCTCCTCACCCGGTCACTTCCCAGCCAACCCTCCGCTCCCTCTTCCGCCGCTACAAAAACACTCACTTTACTCCAAAGCTTCAAAGTGACAAGTATACACGCGTGTGCCACTCGTTTCTCTGGACTGTTTTAGTCTCTATTAAAGTGCGAAGTTAACATTTACTAAAAGCTTTGAAGTAAAGAAAGGAGAGGAGAGAGCTCCAGCGCCACCCTTACCCTGCTCTTCCAGCCATTTTCATGTCCAAGCACAGCTCCGAAACAGGAGTAACAGTTTGGAAAAAGCGGCTCAGAGTGAGCACTTTAGTGACTTACCGTGGGGTGTAACGGGCTGCTGGGTTAGTGTGTCTTTTTGTTGCCAGGGCTCCCCTGCTCTGCTCCGCGCTCCGGCGCTGACGGTGGAAAAGCGTCTCCCCTCCTAATGATGTCTGCGGCGCACGGCTAATACCTCTCTGCCCCCACCTCCAGAGAGAAGGAGAAAGAGAGAGAGGGAGAGAGATCCACAAATGGAGCACTTTTACGAGCTACTCATGCAAAAAATGTGACAGGCAGGGTTTGTAGCTGGGCAAACAGCCGCGGAATTACGCGAGAAGTTCACTGACAGCACCAATTAAGGCGTGGGGATGTCAAAGCGCAGACGTCATTTGGAATAGTTCAATCGTGTTTAGATTTCAAACTCCGGCTTGACTACGTTCTTTATTGCAAATGTAACAGTTCAGTCTCATCTCGGCCTCTGTTTTAACATTTCTATGGTCTTTTTGAAGGTCAGGAGGTCATGGCAGGCGATGGAGACTCAGGGATAAACTTTGCATGCACTGTCACAGGTGCTTGGCTCCAGGAACTTAAAGATTCACTTCCATACAGAAAGTACATCACTGCAAAAACCATCTGGAAATAGGTTTAAAAAAAATCTTAAATTAAGTGTCTTTACCCTTAATTTGAATAGATAATTTGCCAACGGAATGGGTATTTTTACCACTAAAATAAGATAATTAGATAATATGCGCTTAAAATAAGACAAAGCAATGTTTTTTTTTTCTTATTTTAATTGTAAATGGTCTTTTTCCATTGGCAGACCAAGAAAAATTGCTCTTCATTTAAGCAAAAATTACTTATTTAGATTTCCATTTTTTGCAGCAATATTCTTACCTTCAGCTACCACAGTATACATGTCAGATTAAATAATACTACTTATACTTCAGCGATAGTATCAAGGTGTTAATTTATTGTATCTCTTATACTATATCTGTTGGTCGTGCTGTTCTTTTTACATCTCTTTGCAGGTGATGAAGCAGACTGAAGATTTTTTTTATCGTTATCTCCCGTTTGATCTCCTCTTTCTTTCATCTTTTCTCTTTTTTTCTGTTTTTCCTTTACATTGCAGTGTCCATATAGTCTATAATACTCCCTGCATGAATTATAATAAAGCCATTTATATGCATAAATCAAGCGGAAAACTATGGCGATAGCCGTACTGCTTCACTTGTGAAAGCAAAATCTCATTTTGAATCTAGACAGATATTCTTATTGCCACATCATCAGACAGGACACTGTTTAAAAAAAGGGGGGAAAAAAGACTCAAAGATTCAGAGGAAATCTGCTCACCTCTGATCTGAGCCCCAAAAGGCTTAATTCAGGGGCCCAAATATAAGATTAATGCATGGAAACATGTAAAGCATCAAAATGTTAAATATCCCACTCCAGTGATTCCTTTTTTTTTCCTTCTGTAGCAACCATACATAAAAACAGTTTGTTACTCCTCTCGAGATAATCAAGGCTCAACGTTGTTCTTTTGGCTCTAAAAGCCATTTATTGTGAACACGTCTTATAAAGCCCCAAAAAATGCCGTCAGAACTCATTGGCCGCATAAACTCTAGAGATATAAAGATAACTCATACAGCTTTTCTCAGAAAACCAGTCTTAAAGCTTTTCTGGTGAAACTTCTTGAAAAAAAACAGGTGCAAAAAAAAGAATTGTGTCAATCAATCTTTTCCATGGGCAACAACGTGACATGCAGAACAAAAAACATAGGTTCCTCCTTACATTTTACTGATCTTTTTAACCAATGTACATAAACGACATAAATTAACTGAAAGTTAGTTATTTATTTATGATTGAACTTGTAATTTCAATACTAGTATGTATTAACTCTTATTTTTAACTAAATATTAGAATATTTAAATGAGTTGACTCTAATGGCAGCTACAGTTATTTCTGCACAAATTAATGGTTTGATCGCCTGAATACTAAAATGTTTATTGCTAAATAAAACTGATTTTGTTAAGCGTTAGAGACCTGTTTTCACAGCATCACAGAAATGTTCAAATAAAGTAAAAATTTCCCTAAGAGATACATCTGCATGAGAATAACCCGAGTAAAAACCTATAATATCTGTAATTTACAAGACAGGCTGAATTCACTTCTTTGCAGGTTTTCCCAATAAGATTTATTTAGATTAAATGAACGCTTCCTTTCAGGACCTTACTATTATATTAGAACACTTATTTATTTCAGCTTCTAAAGTAAAGTACATTATCTAAGTAATTATTTCTGCTATTTATTCTGGTTTGGTTTCATTAATTAGATTAAATTATTTAAGAGCGAACAAACAAGACATCTTGGCACATAAAATGTTTTACCTTTTTCAAACTAGGACCTTAGGTGATTCGTACACAACCACAACAGCCTGACGTCTTCTCCTCATACCAGTCACCAGATTGGTCACACATTTCTGTGGGATGCACTAATAGTAACCCAAAGCTTAACTCACAAGTGTCATTGAGGCTAAAATTGTAGGCAGGTCAGACCTAGAGATAAAGTCAAAATGGTTATTTACCAGGTAAATCAGGGCTTGTCCATTTTCAGTCTTTACTAATAAAAGCATTTAAGTCATCTTCTAAATCTGTTTCACTTTTCACCTATTTTGAGAGACTTTCACCACGCTGTCCTCAGTGTATCCTTCCTGATTTCCAGTGTGGCTGTCTTTGTCTGTCCCTGTACAGCAGAGTGTAACCTGATACTGCCCACTATGAGCCACAGGGTGCACGAGGTTGCGGAGTGACGGATAATCAGAGATGCATCCCACTCCCTGCCAGTCACCCAATAAGTGGCCTATTGTCCGACTCTCCATTGTACTCTTGTCACATGTGTAACAAACAAAGAGCCAGAGAGGTAGGCTGCCCTGTGAGCCACAGGTTTAGTGTTACATTGATGCCCTGTGTGCATAGAAATGAAGACACATAGTTTGGCGGTGAATGGACTGATATCTAAATGAGATTTTTACATCACATTTTCGCACTTGACAAAACAGGTGAAGTGTTTTTGATTAAATAGGGCTTTTTATTATATTAACAGGACTGCTTGCTAATGGATTTACAATCAAATAGAAAAGTAGTTTTAGCTTGGTATGAGTTTCAAAAGGTCTCCTTTATCACACCCAGGTGAATTTTGTGTCTGGTCAGTGGGAGATTGCTCTAAGACTACAAATTTGTGGAGTAAATCTAAAAATACAATATTAAAATAAGAAATTATATCATAAAAAAAAAAAAAATAGGAAAACCAGCAGCCGCCTGTGTTTGTTTGATTACTTTTTAAAAATACTCGGACACTTAAATGAACATAAAAACTGTATAAAATGCCTTTTTAAAGATTCATTTTTAAGATGTGAGAAAAACAGTATTTAATGTTAAGGATAAATTCACATTGTAGGGTACACAGTGTTGAAGTGAGTAGTGCTCTGGCCTTGTAGCAAGAAGGTTTCAGGTTCGAATCCCGGCCCGGGGACTTTCTGCATGGACTTTGCATATTCTGTGTCCTGTGAATGTGTGGATTCTCTCTAGCTTCCTCGCACTGTCCAAAAACATGACTGTTAGGTTAATTGGTTTCTCTAAATTCTCCTTAGGTGTGAATGGTTGTTTGTCTCTGTGTTGCCCTGCAATAGCTTGACAATCTGTCTTGGGGGTACTCCACCTTTTGCCCATTGACTGCTGGAGATAGGCACCAGCAACCCTTGCGACCCAAGTAGGGATTTTCCGCAATGGAAAATGGATGATGGTTGCAATTTTAAAGGGATTTGCCTTCTTTAAACCCTTAGCCATCTATATTGATGTGCTCATGACTGCTGAAGACAGAGTGAACAATGAAAGCCATAATAACTAGTTCATAATACTTTAACAGAATAGCTAGTGTTGATATGGAAGTTTGTTCCTCAAAAATGTGACAGAAACAAGATGAACTTTTATAGAGATGTGAAAGGAGACATGGTTTGATCTCTTAATAAAACAATAGGGACAGAAAGAACCTAGACAAATACCAGAACATCTGGAATGATGTTCCTTGGGCGGACTGTACTGTATGAGATTAGAATTGAATTATTCGAAAACGAAGAGGACATATTTGGCATAAAACAAATACAGCATTCCAGAAGAAGAACCTCATAGTAACTATAAAGTACGGCATGAAGGGTCATGGTTTGGGAAGGCTTTGCTGTAGCAGGTCCTGGCCAGCTCACCATGATAGAATCCACCATGAATTCTACCGTGCACCGAGTCCATCTGTTAAAAAAAAAAAAAAAAAAACAAAGAAAGAAAGAAAGAAACAATGAAGCACCACTGGTTCTTACAACATGACAATTACCCAGAAATACCAGTACATCCACTATAAACAGTTTTTTTGTTTGTTTAATTATTACAAGAGTATTATTTTTGGCATGCCAAACAGCTTTCATTCCAGCGTTCATTGGAAATATTTTCACATAACCAGTCTATGCACTCACGTCTTGCTTAACGCAGAAATGCATTTTTCTTATAAATGTGGCTCCATTTAAAGGGAAATAAACAGATTTACCTAATGCATAGTTGCTTTTTTGAATAAATTAACATATGAACATTAGTTTTGAGCTGATGGTCACATTTTCTTATAGTATTATTAGCTCACGTCACACTGCATATAAACACAGGCATGTACCTGCGCAGCTTGCTTGCTCCACTCTGCCTGTACAAACAAGCACACATGTAGTGTTAAACAGAGCTTCTATATGTTGCGTGGACATCTACAAGTCTGAACCGATTCATTACCAGCTCCAAACAAGCTAGTGCTTCCATTTTATTTTGCTAAAGAACAAGATGCAACGTTGTTACACACAAACGTGTATTCAATGGCTACAGTGTACTTGAAGAACTACTCCCCAGAGGACAAGTACATTTTTCCAGCATTGGGTTACTCCCTAGAGTTCTTTGCTGGAGGTGTGAACTGCATGCACTTGGGAACAATAAAGTACGACTGGGTGTGGCTTGTACCAGAACAGCCCTGAGAAATAAAAAACAGGCAGCTTACATGTGCATACCTCTTTGTTAAATGACTCACAGTGATATGTCATTCGCCATTGATTATAGCTGAGCAAACACTCCTTAAAAGCAGAAGCAAGCAACTCTGTTTTAGTGGAAATAGTAAAACAAATGTAAGACGATCTGCTACATGAACAAGAGATGAAAACTGCTGCTGGGACATAGGTTAATAAGAATAA